TCAGAACCTGCTCATATCTTTGTGGAATATAACATGACATGAAATCAACATTTTATGCAACCTAGTTTACAGATTCAACACATACAAATTCCAAAAAAGTATGACAGAGAACTTTCCAATGGGATAAATGAGCATTCAAATTCCAAAATAGCATCCTCATCAAGCATTCATTACAATCTCAAATAAAAACAACTTCAGGCGCAATAGTAACATCCCTTCCTAATTCCAAAATAGCATCTTTTTTTGATAGTTGAACTGCATACCAACCTCTGGTACAATCGTAACATCCCTTCCTAATTTATCGTCTTCCAACGGGATTACATTATCTATCAAGTTCTAAGCGTTGGAATCTACAAATACTTCGTCATCCAATACTTCCATTATTTCAAATTACACATGTAATTGTAGATTTCAAATTACGTCTTCAATGAGTTTGGATTTTACCTTTCGCAGTCATCTGTTCAATGGAAATGATTGAAACTGTATTATTATACTGAAGCTTTGCCTCTGAAGCTCTATTCAAACTGAATTGTAGATACACATTTGAATTTATCAAGACGAAAGAATAAAAAGTGAGGCATATAAAATAAGAAGTTGTATGCCTTTAAATAAAGAAATGCCCAAAAACGACGGAGAGGGTGGAACGCCATGAAAACGCCATGAAATTACCGCAGCTGGACGAGACGAGTAATACAATGTACTGGGCGGAGAGATGTTCACCGCGTGGTAAAATCACAGCAACAAGGATGGAATAATTTTAGTCTTCATCTATTCAACCAAAAATCTTTACATAACCTTAATCACCTTAAAGCTCACAGCAGCAGGCAATCGGTGGTCTTCAAAAATGGGTGGCTTCGTCGGAGAGTGGTGATTTGGAGGAGAGTTGGGGGAGAGGTGGGATAGGTTAGATTTGGAACAGTTTCCACGTTTAGACAATGAGCCGGGTATTTTGGTTCCGTTTTTGAAGAAATCAATTTTTTATTCATTTCACACCTCCACGTCAGCCATTTCAAAAAGCTGTGAAAAATGCTGTGAAATAGGGCTGTACACCAAGCCTTATTCTTTTTACTAATAAGAAAATTTTACAATTATAAGTTAATTTTATACTTTTAATAACTTTAAGTGAATTTTTTTACTTATAAGTAATTTTTTTAATTTTTTATATGTGAATTTTTTCTTATTAGTAACATTATTATTTTATAATTTTTTTTTACATAAAAGTGACTTTTTACTTATAAGTAATTTTTAATTATAATGTAATTTTTCTTACCTTACAATTAATATTTTACTTATAAATAGTTTTTAATTATAAATAATTTTTTAGTTAATATATTTTTATTTACAATTTAGTTTTGAACAAAATAGATTGATTGGAAATAATTATTTTATATATAGTAAAATTACATGAGAATATAAAAAACAATCAAAATCCACACTATTTGAGATTGTGAGAATCGCCCAAAATTACATTACACCGATTTTGGATCTTACACAAAAACTAACAAGCATCGATGTTTTAAACCTTTCATAAACTGCATCATCCAAAATCAATGAAAAATACTTTTAAGCAGACCCTTACTTAACCTACTTACCGTCAAATTTCACTTTTGTCACTAACCTTCCATTTTTGTTACAATTAAAATAATCAATTGTCTAGATAAAATAGAAGTTGCATAATTATAGTACTTAGTGGAATTAAATTACAATCCCTGTGGGTTCGACATCCTAACTTTCATACTATATTACAAAACTTGACACCGTACACTTGCGGCATAAATTCACGTTATAGAAAACGCGTGACAGACCTGCTCACCCTACTTTTGGAAGCTTTGTGGTGTTTCTACTGGGCTACAGTTTGGGTTGGCTTTATTTCCTTGACTATCGAAACCAGGCCCAAGTTAAATTGGCCCACATCAGCTTTATCGTTCCCAGGCCCAGGCCCAGGCCCAGGCTCAGTAATTCCTTTTCCTTCCCTGTAACTGTAACTGCTACTGCACTTTCCAAACCTTGTCTCCGAAAATCTTGCACATCCTCAATCCTATTAACTGTACTCCCATAATCCTGTCCCCAGGAATCATGCATATCCTCATTCGTAACTGTCACTGATTTCTCGCCCGAGGCTTGAGCCACAAATTCCGTAGTTACCTTCTCCTTGATGTTCTTCGGAATATCCGCTTGCGTACTCAACGGCTCCATAAATTTCGTAGTTGAATGTTCCGAAGATCTCGGGTGATCTAAAACTGCCGCCGGCGACCCACCCTTTCTTCCATCACCAATACGCTGAACACACATTGATGGTGGTTTACGAACTGAAAACTCCGTCGATGTACTACCTCAGCTAAAACCCCTTAACCAGTGACCGTATGGGAGTGATGATTCTAGGCAATCTTTGAATTTCCAAACCAAGTCACAATCCTTAATCAGATGCCCAATTCTTCCACAGCAATAGCAAAAATCAGGCAATCGTTCATACAAAAATTTGATCCAATATGGGCCATTCATACCTAGACATAGTTTTTTTCCTCTTAACAAAGGTTTGGATACATCAATGCATACTTGGACTCTCATGAATCCCCCCCAAGCACATTCCCCTTCCAACAAATCAACCTCCATAACCTCACCAATGGGCTCGCCAGTCTTTTTGCCAATCTTCTCATTACATCCACCAAAAGGGAGATCATGCAAACGGACCCAAAACAAAGCCTCCTTCATTGTTATTTGACGCGGCTGCAAAGAACCATCAAATTTCTTTAGTAGAACAAGCTGTTTGTCAAAAACCATGGCCCATCTCGGATTATTCTTTCCATTTCACGGACATCTTCAAATTCTGCTATTATAAATTTCAATCCTAAATCTCGAAGTCGCACCAACTTGATTGGACGCTAAATCTTCCTCAGGACTTGTTTGAAAGCCTCTCTATTATAATATTTCGCTGTTAATAGGTGCACTATCAAGCATTTCTCCCCACGAACAAGGGTTTCATGCACCTCCTCTTCCCCCATCGAAATGATTTCTTGTTCATTCTCCGTAAGGGACAGTTTCTCACACAAATCTTCCAGTTCAATCGCCATTAGAAAATAAATTTTGAAACTTGTACAGAGACAGGGTAAGGGCTTCTACTCGAAGGAGACGCGAGAGAGAAACAGTGTGTGTTCTAGTTAGCTGAGTTGTGAGAAAAATAAAATCTCATCTTCCGCACATCATATTTTTCAAATAAGCAAAAAATATAAAAGTTCGATAAAATATTTGGCCCTCATTTCAAAGCACAATTACAGAATATGTGGACAAAAAAATCATAACCAAGGACAAAATATGCTAATTAACAAAAGGTTGAGTTCAATAATGTTTTGAGAAAAATTGAAACATAAGTACAATAATAAGCAAATTTTAAAGTAAAATTTGATGCAATTAACAAAATCTTTTAGGTCAATTAAATCACTCTTATTCATAAGTAAAATTTCAAATGTCACGTCACTCCAAAAGTAGGGTTAAGTACCCAATGAATATTTTACTTTCAACGTTAATTGATCATTGAGCTATAATTTTTTTTCTCAATAATCACTGAACTTAACAAAGTATTATGACATTAGACGCTCCATATCTTTTGGTTTGAAACATTAATGTTTTCGAGTGGCAAATGACTTGACATTGGTGTAGTGTCCATTAGGACAACACTTTTTTTAAAAGTTTAATTACAATTGAAAAACACTTTTTTAATATTTCAGATATTTGGATAGAAAGAGATGGGATGAGATAAGATAATACTTTATTTACTTTAGTTATTATTAACCAAAGTTGCTAAATTCATTGGCCAAAAAATGAGAACACTGACCATTGAGATATTTAACTCTCAAACGTATCGTGATATTTCTAGAGATATTCTCAAAACTCAAAAGTATTGTGATATTTCCATGTAATTTTATAATTACATTATTAAAATTCTATATATTAGATTTAGCAATCAATCAACTAAAGCCTAAAAAGGATTAAAAACACTCTTAGGACCCAGTTCGGAGCTTTGTTGTACCGATTATGAGCGTTTTTTTAAAGTATCGATTTTGAGCGTTTATGAACTAATCGGTTTTGAATAGTTTTAGTAGCAATTTTTAAAATTGTCCAACTTATACTTGTGAGTTTATTATCTACCGGTTCTAAAAGTTTTTTAAAAGAATAAAATTACGTATATATCTCTTAGTAATTTTTTTAAATATGAAATTCTTTTACTCGTAAGCGATATTTTAATTATAAATAATTTTTTTTACACATAAGTTAATATTTAGTTTTAAAAAATTAAATAAATTTAAATATTTACTTAAAATTTGAAGTTTACATTTTTTACTTATAAGAAAATTTTACAATTATAAGTTAATTTTATACTTTTAATAACTTTAAGTGAATTTTTTTACTTATAAGTAATTTTTTTATATTTTATAAGTAATTTTTTTTATATTTTATAAGTGAATTTTTTCTTATTAGTAACATTATTATTTTATAATTTTTTTTTTACATAAAACTTACTTTTTACTTATAAGTAATTTTTAATTATAATGTAATTTTTCTTACCTTACAATTAATTTTTTACTTATAAATAATTTTTTAGTTAATATATTTTTATGTACAATTTAGTTTTGAACAAAATAGATTGATTAGAAATAATTATTTTATATATAGTAAAATTACATGAGAATATGAAAAACGATCAAAATCCACACTATTTGAGATTGTGAGAATCGCCCAAAATTATATTCACCAGTTTTGGATCTTACACAAAATCTAACAAGCATCGATTTTTTAAACCTTTCATAAACTGCGTCATCCAAAATCAATGAAAAATACTTTTAAGCAGACCCTTACTTAACCTACTTACCGTCAAATTTCACTTTTGTCACTAAACTTCCATTTTTGTTACAATTAAAATACATCCAGTTGAGAAAATTTCTAGTATTCTAGAATATGAAATTCAATATTCCCCGTCACTATTTAATTTATATATGCATGACGAAGTCCCAGTCAAATAGTGAATCCCAATTTTTTAATACATATGTTGATTAAACACTGGCAAGGAGTCCCATGACTGCCATTCTGAAATGTAACGGTAAATCTAATGTGTATAATAACGACGTTGACGAGGCACAAAAAATCCATTAAATGCATCTTCATAAACTAGCAGTGCTTTTGGAATTTACTATTTCAAATAAACAAGCAATAATAATATCTCCTTTTTATCTCAGCATCCTTCCACCACCAACCCAAGCAACTCTCCTCCCATTTCGACTTTTAATTCCCCACCCACTGGCTTGCTCTCACCCCCATCCCAACCCTCCACAAAGTCTATAAGACCATGTTTGGCTTAGCTCAAAAGTAGCTTCTTTGGGGTGCTTAAAGTAGTGCCCAAAGAAGCTACGAAAAGAACAATTCGACTAGTCCTGGAAGGTAACCTGGCACGGATTGGTGATAAACGAGAATACATCTTCAATAGTAATGGATTGGTCAATAGCGCAGGTTCAAGTACCAAGCCACCATCTTGGAACTGCACCAACCAGCTACCACAACCACCATGCTATGTAACAAATCTATACCACACGGAATTATAAAGCAGATATTGAGAAATACAGGTTATAAAGAGAATAAATGAAGACACTAACATGCTGCCGTATCTTTATACAAAAATGTATACTCGATCCAACCTGAACGTCTCTACTTACCAACTAGAAGTGTATGAGAAGGGAATCGGGTTATTGTATCTATCGGTGCATAAGGGAGGATAATGTTTTGAACGAATCTCTCTGTATGATATAGAGTAATCTCTCTTCACAGCAGCATCAAATTGGACTAAATGCAAAACATGTCAGTAATATATATTTACACTTGCTGTTTTCCAGGATCCCAATTTTGTGTATCCACTGACTCGTATATGTTGGTGGTGAAAGAGGAGCTTCACAACATGGTTACAACTTTTCAGTGTCACTTAGTCAACCTCCTTTGCACTCTTATTCACCTGTCCCCCAGAGCATAAGAATCCCATCAGGTCAAGTCTCATATTTGTAATTTCTGGTTCATATTGTAATTTATTATCATGAATCACGAGGGCCTTGGACCATCAAAGTAATACGCTTAGCACTGTCTGCACGCACAATATCTTCTTTACATCCGATCTGGGATGAGAAATCATATTCAACAAACCCAAAACTCATTGACGATGCATACTTGGAAAACCAAGATACAATGTACAGATTCTACAACAAAATTTAGAAAATGTCTTAAACTAAAGATAAGAGGTTACCTCATTGGACAAGTTAGGAGAAAACCACCGCAATAACACTCCAAGGTGTACGACAGCAGGTATCAGCTTGAAAATTAATGGAGTAGTTACCTGTGTAATTGCTTCATGAGCATGCTTCAATAATAACACGCATGAACACGTTGCAACTACATGTCGACTAATTTAAATTTTATGACAGAATACAAAAGACAACAAATGGCAGGTTGTTATCATGTGCGTTCTGATGTCTGGAACAAAAAAATATGATGCGTCAACCAATGGCAAGATCTAACTCGTACCAATTCAAATGTGCGTGTTTCCCATTTAATGTTGATCAATTTTTGGTCATCAACCATTTAACTTATGTCCATTTGCATACCATCCTAGCACAACAAACCCACATTTCGCCACCTTTGTCCCATGTTATAGACCATGGAATTCGACAGAAAAAACGCCAAAACTCCCAGCAACAATTTTCACAATTGATAGCACAATGGGCTCTGATGTTTTTTAAAACCAAGTTAGCAATTGTTTGCTTGTGGAAATAATTTTGAAAAGGTATTGTCATCGGTAAAATAACAATGTAATAATAATAATAATTTGTCACCAGCAGTTGGACCCAAATACAAACGCCTATGGCCATCCTCTCAGGATACAATTGAAACTTAGGTATTACTTGATGTACATTATGAAGTCTAGCATACCAGGCTAAGAGCTGTCGTCCCAAGCAGCAGCACATACAATTTACCCTGCATAAGTCATTACCTTCTGTTAATTGTCCATTTCGATGCCATATAAAAGTTCAATGAGGACCACCGGAAGAAAGAATATAAATAGATTAAGTTAAGCAATTCTGCATTCATTACCATGAAAAAAAAAATCACCCAAATGCAATGTAAGGAGCCTCAATGAGATCGATTAAAACGCAACGTGAATGAAAACCATACCTCAATTAGATGAAGATTTGAAGCTCGACTAAGGAGAACGAAAGCGAACTCTCCAATTTGTGCAAGCGACATGCCAACCTATGCAGACATACAGCCAAGATTTGCTTGTAAAATATATCAAAGAAAAAACATCAAACTGAGGACCAGGCAAGCACTCACAATAACAGAAGTCTTGTTGGTGTAGCCAAATCCCTTGACAACTACGGTAACCACGACGGTTTTCACGATAATCACCAATATAACAGCTGCCAGTAAAATATCAATGTGATTCCAAAGAAAATGAGCATGAATAAGCATTCCAATACTGGCGAGGAAAAGAGCAGCAAAAAAGTTCCGGATGGGCTCCACCTACAAGAGAATGACCTCCATATAAGAGGAAACAAACAAGGTGTATAGGGACGAGAAATTTATAACACGGTAGATAAATATATATAAAAACATAAACAAAGCTACATGTACAACACATGGGTTACAACCTCTCACAAGGGAGGTGGGCCCAGAGATTAAAATAATAGTGGGCCCCACCTCCCTTGTGAGAGGTTGTAATCCAATGTTGTAACTCAACATTGTAC